GTGCCTCTCATCCAGTCCTCACCATTTCCCACCTCTTTGGTATTCCCACCTGGATATTTGGCATCCCCATCTCAAACTCAGGGTTTTCCACCTATGGATTCCTCACTGTGGCCGCCATCATTGCAAATGGTGGCAGCATCCCTCTAGTGGCTTAAACAAAGCAGCAGGAAGTCATCAGCAATAAGCATCCTTTCTCTCCTTTGCATCCCTTCCCCACAACCAACTAGCAGCAAGTCCAGTTCCTTCTACCGGTGGATGCGTGTTGGAAGTCCAGGTGTCCTTTGCCATTTCTAATGCTGCTCTTGTGAACGAGGCCGCCATCGTAAGCCACACAGCTGGATGCCACCATCTCCTCTCCTGTCCCTGTATCCTGTGTATTACTTCCTACCAGTCAGTGCTCGACCCCTACAGCAGCTGGAGTGATGGCCAAAAAAGACACAGTGTCCTTAACACCCACTGATACCTTTCCTGACCATTAGGTACATCTTATAAGCTCCTGTGTGAGACCCCAACCACCCTTCCCCATTTCACGCAGGCCAGCAGGGAGCTGCGAGAAGCCACTCAGTGTTGGTCATAAAGCTTAGTTTTATGCCTTTCCTCCAGCCCTGGATCCTTGCAGTGTCAGCTCCTTCTCACCTTTCAGTGTCAGCCTAAAGATAGCTCTTATCTTAACCATCAGGAGCGTAGGTACAGGTTTATGCGCATCCAGTCCCACCTAAAATTTCAGAGATGCTTCTGATAAGGACCGAAGGTCTTCCAAGAATGCCAGCGCATATCCTGGAAGAGACTCATGGGGGAATCACCTGCAAGCAGGGCCGGTTTCCTGATGTGAACCCTGGAGTGTCACACAGAAGCTTCTCTTCCAAGTGACGGCCACACCTGGCTAAATGCTCTGCTGTCCTCATCCCCACATCCTCAAGGATTTCGAAAGAAAGAGCCCAGGGTTTTCATTCTGCACTGGCGCCCCTCAAATTACACAGCCCATCCTGACCACGGAAGAGGGGGACCCCAGACTGAACTTGGTCTGTGGTTATTGCTCAGACAGAGAACACACAACGGTAGGATTAGAAGCACAAAGCCTGTCTTTGCAAATACGTGAATTGTGCACATTCCTTACAATTATGTTTTTCGAACGGTTCATCAGGCAGAGACCTCAGTTTGGCTTTCGGGGTGACAGGGCATCTGCATCACTGATTAAAATCCTGCTGAAAAGTAACAGGGATTTCTTTAGAGTGAAGGAAGGATACAAGTGAGGGAGGTATGAGAGGATGTTTGCATTTTCCTATTCGACGTTTTGCTTGCCTTTTATCTCAATGTAATAGAAAATTGAGTAGAACATCCCTGGGGAGGCGGCAACAAGCTTTCTGAGTCAGAAATCCATATGTTCCATCCCGATGCCCATCCTACAAAATGCCACCGGAAAACATCCATTGTTCATTGCCACCATCCAGAGGTGGCTGGACAACTGCCCTTCACCCCAAATCCTCCTCCCCAAGGAATCCAGACAACCTACGCCCGTTGCCCTTCTTGAATACTTGGGCTGTTTCTGGAAAACCCACTGTGTTCTGGATGTTCACTCTGGCCGGAGGCTGGGTTTCAATACCAGAGGTCACGTAACACTAGCCCTTGCGGGTCTTTCCCATCTATCAATCCATCCAAGTTGGGATCTCCTCATGAAACCCACTGGCATCTAGAGTCACATTTCATGAGAGATTTGGATTTTAAAATGTCATTCCAGGTAGATGCACTCCTTAGACACGTTACATCCAGGTAGTAAGAGTAGCTGCTAAGGGCAACAAAACACTCTGAACAACTACTTGTGTTGCATATCCCACCTGGAGTTATCATAGTTTCCCCAACCCCTTGAACAAGACAGTCTCAAGACAGGAGAAAGGATGCGTCTCTGCTCCACATTTGTCTGGATTCTTCTAGGTGTCCGATTAATGCTTCACCTTAGTCATGAGCAAAACACATCACAAATACTACTTGTAATCAATATATTATTGGTTAGAAAAATCCAGATGATAAATTATGCACGTTGGGTATTTTCTCTCTGACTGTGTCTCTTTAGTTTTTGCTCTCTGCTATTCCTACCAGAAAATTTAGGTCATATCCGACTCCCCACCCTGCGCCAATCCCATCAATTGGAGGGATGCGTGTGACATAATTACCCCATAAGACGCAGAAAGCAAATGGGGGCAAATTTCTTGATCCAGTTGGAGCAGATACATTGAAAAGGGTGTGAGTCCCTTGCAAATTTGTTTTTCAGGAATGGAGTTTAAACTTATGCTACCTTTACAAAAGAGAGAGAGAGAAAGGATGGATGGATGGATGGAAGAAAGGGAGGAAGGAAGGAAGGAAGGAAGGAAGGAAGGAAGGAAGGAAGGAAGGAAGGAAGGAAGAATATACATTTAGAAAGTTGTTTCTTAGGGATTTTGAGTCAGGGATGCCCACAGCTATATTCGTGTGCCCTCTAGTGGTATAATGAATCTAGTGATTAAAACTCAATAAAACAGATTATTAGCTATCGAGGATGGTGGAAAAGAAAAAAATTAATCTATAAAATTTTATTTAGGAGTGTTTGGATAGCTCAGTTGGTTGAGCGTCTGCTTTCAGCTCAGGTCATGTTCTCGGGGTCCTGGGATCGAGCCCCGCGTTGGGTTCCCTGTTCAATGGGGAGCCTTCCTCTCCCTCTGCTACCCCCCTGCTTCTGCTCTCTTGGTCTCTCTCCCTCTGTCAAATAAATACATAGAATCTTCAAAAAAATTTAGAGCATTTTAGGTTCACAGCAATATTGAAAAGAAGGTATGGTCTCCACAAACCAACTTGGAAAAAAGACACTTTTAAGTCCCTAAAAAATCTAGAATTTTGTTTTATTTTATTTTTTTAAAGATTTATTTATTTATTTATTTATTTATTTATTTAATTTATTTAGTTGAGAGAGGGAAAGGAAGAGAATCTCTAGCAGACTCCCTGCTGAGCAGGGGGCTCAACCTGGGGAATGATCCCAGGACCCCAGGATCATGAGCTGAGCCAAAACCAAGAATCAGATGCTGAATTGATGAAGTCACCCAAGCATCTCTGTAGAGAGAATTTTATGATTGATAACTCCATTTTGGGACAATGGTTAATCCATGGCCCTTTGGACTAATGGCCAAGGTGTGTGCCATTTTGATCTATGACATACCTCACGTTTTAAAGATTTTATTTATTTATTTCAGAGAGAGCTCAAGCACGAGCAGCAGGAAGGGCAGAAGGAGAGAGAGAAGCAGACTCCCCATTAAGCAGGGAACCCAACGCGGGACTCGATCCCAGGATCCTGAGATCCTTACCTGAGCCAAAGGCAGATGCTTAACCAACTGAGCCACCCAGGTGCCCCAGACATGGCTTATATTTTAACTTAAAAGTTTAAAGGTATCTTCAAAACAGCTCACAGAAAAGCAAATATTGATCTAGCACTGTGCATGGGGCCATGTGCTAAGTCTTTTATAGGAATTATCTCCATGAATCTTCACGAAAGTCCTGTGGTGTAGGTACGGTCGTTATTGGCATTCTGCAAATGGAACCACTCAGCAGGAAGTGGCCCAAGGACACGTGGCTGGGGAGGAGCACAGTTGGCTCTACAGATACCACTGGGTAGAATGGAAAGTGTGTCCTCGGCTGTACACGGCTTCCTTCCTCCTACAGCCTTCAGTTCACAATGTATGACTTGGAACAGAGAAGGGACGGAGCTGGGATGAGAGAGGACTTCTGAATCAGGGGTTACCAACCTGTGGTGTAGAGTGGACCATCTTTGGTCGATCCCCTTAATCATTGCACACTCTGTCTCCTTCCCCACAAAATAAGGGGATTTAGTGATAAGGTCTTGGAAGATCTTTCTCAGGCTAAAATTCTCAGATCATCTTCTGTGACATCCTAAATTCAAAATGAAACTTCTCACAAGATGTCTCATAAAATAAGGATGTTCTGGGAACTGTAGGAAAAGGAGTGGTGGAGACATCAAACAGCCTTTGTCAATAATCCTTTTATGGACACATAAGGTCCGACATGATCGCCCAGGATCACTTAGAGAAACGAAAACTTTGTTCAATATCCAGTATGAATATGGTTATTTGTGTTTGATAATTATATCAAGTTATCAAATTATTGATATCAAATTATCAATTATCAAATTATATTATTATATCAAATTATATGGGGACTTGGGCTTAGCACAGCCAGGAATCTAGTATTAGTCCAACAACACAAGCCATGTTCTCCTGAGCAAGTTACACAACAATTTCCAAGGCCCTTATACTTTATTGTTACATAGGAGTGTAGTGGATTGAATGGTCTTCCCCAAAAAAACATATGTTGGCATCCTAAACCCTGGTACCTGTGAATGTTTCCTATTCAGAAATAGGATCTTTGCGGATGTTGGGATGATGTCCTACAAATCCAATGACGGGTGTCCTTCTAAGGAGACTGAAATTTGGAGGTGGGCCCACGGAGAGGGAAGAAGGTTACAAGAAGATGGACAGAGGGACTGGAGTGGTTGGTGTGTCTACAAGCCAACAGACACCAAGGATAGGCAGCCACCAGCTGGGACACACCCACGCAGTGAAGGTTTCTACCCAGAGCTTCAGAGGGATGCTTTGATTTTGGACAGTCGGCTTCCAGCACTGAGACAGAATGAATCTCTGTGTTTGAAGCCACCACGCTGGCGGCGACCTGTTAGGGCAGCCCTCCCAAACTCATGTAAGGAGTCGTACCCAAATCACAGCGGTGCAGTACGAAGAAGAGCCTCCATCAAAGTTCTGGCACAACCTCAGGGCAAAATCAACACAGTTTCTGATGGACTACTCTCAACTCGGTTTCATCTGTGGATGAGAATCAATCCTTTCTGTCGGCTTAATGACTACTTTAGGCTACTTCCTTCCATTGCGTCATGGTTTAACCCATTATTATTTTGTCAACTATTCAGTTACCCAGATGGCAATTATTCAATTCACGTTCAATCGTAATTTCAGTTATGATGCTTTAATAGTGGCTATTTTTCCGTTCCCCATCAACCAGTTAGATGCACACACACAGGACCTTACAGAGAGAGTTTGCTTTGGAGAGCAGCAGAGACAATGGCACAAATGGATGCCATCGCGTGTTTTCTAGCACCGAAAGACATGTTTAGATACACACCTATCACCAAAAGCAGAAAAGAAGTTAACGATCGCGTCACAACCAATGGGCATTTAGTCATCCTGCAATGGTAGACGAACCCACTGGCTCTCCAGTTCCTTCCTGAAATTTTGCAGGTGCCATGTTGGCTAACATTGACTGCTCGATCTCAGTTATTTCTTCCCCTTATGCCTGCACAGTGGAGGTGCCTCCCTCCATGTCACACAGGCAAAATGGGAACACTCCACAGCAGGGTTTCAGCCACGGGCTGTCATAATTCAATTCGGACAACTGCTGCTGGACGGGAAGGATGCTTTTCCTGTGTTCCTTCACGGCGTTGGCCACGGTCTGGATCACGACATCGTACAAGGGCTCTGTGTCCTGGGTCAGAGGTGTGGACTCGGAGGGATCCCTGGTGAGGTCAAAGAGCAGAGGAGGGTCGTGGTAGGTGACCAGTTTGCCGGAACATCGGCAGAAGAGGGTCTCAAAGCAGGCGTGAGCTCCTGGCGGCTGGAACACGGGTGTCACGTAGTGAACCTTCCACACTGCATCACCTGGACAAGAAGAGCCACGTCAGAGACAGCCAACCCACATGCCAACCGACCTTGTGTTCTTCCACCATCTCAAGCATGTGTCCTGATCTTTCTCTGGGCCCACAGGTTAATGCTAAATATCATTCAGTCCTTACAATTCAGTACTAAGAAATCAGAATCCCCTAGTAGAACTTTCTGTACGCTTGGAAGCAGCCGTTCATTATGCTTCTCAAAATAGATCATTTCTTCAAGATATCCTCCCCCCCCCCCCCCCCCCGTCTAAAGAGTGTGGCTCTTGGAAAGTTTTCCAAGACGGTATTTTCAGCGGTCACCCCAGAATCGAAGGACTGGTCTGGAGGTGGGGGAGGGGGAGAAAGGAACAAAGTTTTGAGAACGGACTTGAGCGACATTAATCTTGGCATCCACAAGGAGCAGGGGCTCGTGTACTCACTGTCCTTGGGGTGCCAGCGCACGGCGTGAAGGAACGCGCCACAGTAGTGGTAAAGGAACTCATGCTCTGACCGCTGGACTTCACCCTGAAGCAGGGGCATGAGGTTCCGGCCGTCAATCACCCTGCAGACACACACAAAGGACATCAGGCAAAGGAGGTTGGCCAGGTGGCTGTTGGGAGGATGGTCAGTGCATTCCATGACATTTCCCAGGCCCGGAGAGCACCGTGCTGACTTTTCTGGAAATCTGTGCACAGTGTCATGGACGCTACATTGTCATGGGAAATCCAGAAAAAAAAATCTAAGCTTTTACAGTGAAAAATCAGGAAAGTGGGACACGTGGGTGGCTCAGCAGTAGAGCATCTTCCCTTTGACTCAGGGCATGATCCTGGAGTCCTGGGATTGAGTCCCACGTCGGGCTCCCTGCATGGAGCCTGCTTCTCCCTCTGCCTGTGTCTCTGCCTCTCTCTCTGTGCCTCTCATGAATAGATAAATGAAGTCTTAAAAAAAAAAAAAAAAAGGAAAATCAAGACAGAGGAGTGTGTCAATGCAGGTCCATCTAAAGAGCACTGCAGCTCTCAAAAAGCTCAGTTTTCTGGAAAACTTTACAAACCAAAATTTCATCTGCGATTGCCTTGCTCCCCTGAAAGGGGGTCTTACAGAACTTCTAAGGGGTGCCCGGTGGCTCAGTCGGTTAAGCGTCCGACTCTCAATTTCAGCTTAGGTCATGATCTCAGGGCTGTGAGATTGAGCTCCACATCGGGCCCAATCTCTGCTTGAGATTCTCTCTCCTTCTTCCTCTACCCTCCCCCGACTGGTGCACACCCTCTCTAAATAAATAAATAAATAACATATATTTTTTGAAATTTTTATTTATTTATGATAGTCACAGAGAGAGAGAGAGAGGCAGAGACACAGGCAGAGGGAGAAGCAGGCTCCATGCACCGGGAGCCCGATGTGGGACTCAATCCCGGGTCTCCAGGATCGCGCCCTGAGCCAAAGGCAGGCGCCAAACCGCTGCGCCACCCAGGGATCCCAAATAACACATTTTTAAAAAAGAACCTTGGGATGCCTGGGTGGCTCAGCGGGTTGAGCATCTGCCTTTGGCTCAGGACATGATCCCAGATTCCTGGGATTGAGTCCCACATTGGGTTCCTTGCATGAAGCCTGCTTCTCCTCCCTCTGCCTGTGTCTCTGCCCCTCTCTCTGTGTGTCTCTCATGAATAAATAAATAAAATCTTTAAAACAAACAAAATAAAATAAAATAAAATAAAAAAGAACCTCTAAAAAATCTTATGCTTTCTAAGTTATATTAGAAAATAGACCTTCTATCATATCAGAAAAAAATAAAACCAACATTGCAATAAAAAATACAGTAAGTGTCACATGATCCTAAAAATGATGGTAAAAGAAGTGGCGCTGTGTTTATTCTCAGATACAATGCTTGCCTGTGTTGGTAATCCCTTAGAAAGCTGGTGGAACTAAGTTAGGCAAGGTTACCGGTATAGAATTTTTTTGGTTAGAATTTTATTTCTTAAAACAAAAAAGAATTTTATTTCTATATCTCAGCAATGAACAATTGGGAGTTCCATTTTTTAAAAGACCATTTACTACAGCATCATAAGACATGAGATATGGAGGGATATCTTAAAAAAAAAAAAGATTTTATTTATTTGAGAGAGAGAGAGAGCACCAGTGGGGGCAGAGCCAGAGGGAGAAGCTTAGTCGCTGAGCAATGAGCCCAACTCAATCCTGGGACTCCAAGATCATGACCTGAGCCAAAGGCAGGCGCTTAACTGACTGAGCCACCCAGGCTGGGCACCTAGGATATATATTTTTTGTAATACCAAAATTTTGTGTGCTGCACCTACAAAACACGTGATAACAGAACTCAAAGAAGAGATAAACAATGTTCATAGATTGAAAGACTCAAAATTGTTCAGATCTTGATTTTTAACAAACCGATCTATAGATTTAATGCAATCTCGGCCAAGATCCCAGAACGGTCTGGTAGAAAGTGAGAAACGTTTTTTTTTTTTTCTATAATAGACAACATCGTTAGTCACGAGGGAAACACAAATTTCCACCACCATGAGATTCGACTACACAGTTATTATAATGGTTACCATGGAAAAGAATGACCATACCAAATATGGTGGGAATGCCAAATGGGGCAACCATTTTGAAAGTCAATAGGACAAGTTTCTCATAAACATATATCAACCCATATTGATAATAGAGCAGATTCCCCACTCTTGGGCATTTACTGGCGAGAAATACAACATTGATGTCTACACAAAGACCTCTATGCAAATATGCAATGCAACGTTCATCGCAAGAGCCGAGTTTGCTTTTAGAATCTCACAGAGTCCTTCACCTCGGTTTTCCATTAAAGACTAAAAAAGTGCCGGTAGCAATGATAGGGCATTTTTAGAGCTAATTCTGGAAAAAAAAAAAAAAACAGATTGATTATATGAAGGAAAACCTTAGAGCTCAGAGGACATTATTTCTTGAGACTGTAATTCTGCACGACCTTTTATGAGTCCAATATACAGACTATAGCAACATCCCAAAGTCCATAGACTCTACTGAGATCGAGGAAAGTTACTTTTATGACTATGATTGGCTTGGTTGAAAAAAACTACATTTCCGCTAACATAACTATTTTTTTAAAAAATGGATCATTAGCCAAAATTGATAAATATACTTCTTAGCATAGGGGACTTGTATTTTGTTATTATTTCATATAAATTCTCAATAAATCCTATTATTGGCTAAAACAAAGGTTAAAAAAAAAAAAGAGGAGATCGTTCTTTGCTGCTGTTTCTAATTTGCTTTGGGCTCCATTCTGTTTTGGTTCAGAAACACTTCAGAAAGTTCCATTGCATGAAGAAGGAAACATTAGAATAAGTCTTTGGGCTTACAAGGGACAAGTGGCGTTGGGCTGGAGCCGCTGCAATAAACTATCAGAAAGTCACCCGCAAGACTGCCTTGGTTGGTTGTTCCCAGGGACTGGGACTCTGCCATATGAAGGCTGTCCTCCTGCTGGAATTCAAAATAGTCACAACAGAATTCCAAGTAGCCCTGGAATGCCTTACCTTCCTGTCAGCCTTCCCAAACTTGCACAGTCCAGTCCAAGGAATCGTTATTCTCTTACATGGATGAGCATTTTACCAGCCACATCCTCATCCCCAAACCTCCCTGTGTCCACTTTTCTCCCCAGTGAAGGCCATAGAGTATCTAGGATGTGCCACGTAGTCATATAGGACCAATAATGCTCAATACACGAAGCTAGAGTTTTGTGGCTTTTGTCCCAAATGCTCTGAGAACAAAGATGATGTGAACAGGGGTTACAATTATCACCTGTCCTGAGGGACTGAGCTTCCTGATACGGCCGCTAGCGTAGGGAAAATATCCATTAAACTGGTAGGTTCCTCAATCACTTTCCCAGCTGGCAATCTTCCCGGCCAGCGGATGAGTCCCGGAACACGGATTCCACCTTCCCAGCCGGCCATGCCTTTCCCACCTACGAGGTGAGGCAACAGAGGGCCAGTTAGAATCGTCGCGGTGGCAAGACTGCTTAAAAAAAAAAAAACAAAAAAATGTACAGTAGCATCAATACAGACAACATGTTCAGGGCCGACCCTGTACAGAGTCCTGATGCGGTCAGCAGTACACGTCCATGGAATTACTATTTCTTGGGCTGCTGACGGGTGTTTAACCGAATAACTCATTGTATTTGAGATGGGGCATGTGCACTGGCTACACTGTCTGCCCCCAATGCTGTTATCCTGCATATACAGCTGCTTCATCCCCCAACCACATTCACACCATTTGTCCAAAGTTCTCCGTCAGCCTTTAAAATGAAAGCCGTGCCCTAGAAGGTTTTCTGATCTCTTGGAAGATTTACTATCTTCCAACGTATCATAGAATTGACCTACTCTTCTGTTTTTCTTGCTGTGCCTCCCTCCACTAAAATGTAAGTTCCACGAAGGCAGTGATTCTTTGGTTTTGTTCACTGCTGAGTCCAGCGCCCTGAAAATGAACTTAATGGAATCGTGTGGTTCTACACGAACTGATGACCGCAAACCAGGCCATTACAGAGCATGAACCCAAGAGTCAACGATGACCGCAGGACATCAGGCATAGGCCAGGGTCCCCTTGAGTGAAGCAGGAGGAATGGCCATCCTACAGGGTTAATGGAAACTTATTACTTCATTAGATGGCTCCAACTGGAGTGTCAGTCACACCAGATGGAGAAATGGAGATTCTTTTTTTTTTTTTTTTGAAATGTCCTCATAGGTAAAAATAGAGTTTCAGTAATAACGCTTTCCCTTATAGCACATACTTGCTTTCCTAAGCATGCACTTTACTTGTGCCAGCCCTAAGAGAGCAGACACCCACACTCTGCCTCCAGAATGAAGCAAAGATGATCCCATTCACACAAAAATCATTATTCCCTGCTGAATCTGTATTATCATTCATGCAAATACAGGCTCGGTTGTTTCGCATTCAGTGGGAAAGCACAAATATTATATTTTCCTCTGGAAGGAAAGTTTGAAATCTCTTTCAGTGGATATGACAAGATGCACTGAACACTTTCCAGATGATTTTCTTATCTGGAAACACGTCAAGATACACGCCATGGGTCTGGCCAATGTGGTGGCTAACGGGACATGTTTTCATGGACTAAATGTTGCACCAGGATACGGGGCTGGTATCTGTGCATTCAATTATGAAACCAAAGACAGGGTTGCTACTTTGTGTGCTAAGTCATATCTTGACAAGAGAGCACCAACACTTCCTTAGTCACCAAGGAGCCTCTGGTTTTTGACGTCTTGGCTCTGGCTGCCACATCAGATCTTCTACCAACAGCCTTGTACATGTGTAATCAATGACTTGGTACATATCCAATTCATTGGCAGAGTCCCATAAAGGCATGTGGTTTCATTAATGCTTTATCATCTCATGGGGTTGCCAGGGCAGCTAGCTTCTCTCATAATGTTGGCAGGTTTAGGCCCATTTCATTGGTTATCAGACCCCTGCTTTATTTCACCCAGACTCAAGTCAAATGCACTTGTTCACCTTTCCCTGCATTCATCTGTTCACTTCATGGATTACCATTATCGCGAGCCCAGGAGAGCTGACTTACAACCAGACCCCACCCACGATCCCCACTCCTCACCTCTGTATATTCCGTTCCACCCGCCACGCTGGGAGTGGCCCACCCGTGACTCCAAATGCCCCCCGTGGTCTGATGTAAAGTAGACAAGCGTGCGGTTCTTCAGATGAAAATCGTCGATAGCATCGAGAATTTTGCCTGAAATAGTTAAAAAAAGGGGGGGGGACACATGTAATGAAAGTCATTATGAGCTTTGGGCTATGACGCTAGTCCAACTTGCAGCACGTTTGTACGGGAGTCACTGCAGAACTGTTTCTCATCGACGACGCACCTGCTGACGGTGGGTGGTGCGTGAGCTCAAGAAGAGCGATGTTTTCTGAATTCCTCAAGAGCATCTTGTGTTGGACAGATGATTATGCTAAATTAGGAGTGGAAATGGATTTATCCTTTACTATTTTACTATTATCCCTTGTTACATCATTATTGCATAACAATATTTTTTTTATTATTTTATGATGCAGACACCAACATTCACACTTTTAACTTCTAAGTTATGTTTAGCTCTTGTTGGTTTTTCTTTTGGGGGCTTCGCTGTTTCTGTTCTTGGTTTATACAGACTCCTGTATTAAGGTATGAAAACATGTCACATCGTTGGCAATAGTTCCTCCTTTGGCAAGGAGCGTGCCTCGTCTTTTGCAATCACATTTGTCCCATGGCGTTAGGACCCACCCTAAGACCTCACCATAACTCGATTCCATCTGCAAAGGCTCTATTTCCAAATACCAACACATTCAGAGATTCCAGAAGTTAGTACATGGACCTTTTTTTTGGAGGATACAAAGCCACGCCCAACACCGACTTTACCCAATATATTCCATCCGTGCCACTCTGACTTGGTTTCCCTCCTTGGATCTTCTCCTCACTGGACCATCTCCATGGTCATCTATTTCTGCTTCCCTGATCTAACATCGAAACTTGTGCGTGTAGTTCAGTGTCGTAAGTTTTATTTTTGATAGCACTTTCTTTGCAACCATAAAAGTGTGTCTGGATCCTTTCTCTTAACTGGCCTCCCATCAGATGTCTTTGGGCAATTTCGTTTCTTATCACTTTCTTTCCCCGTGTGTACTTCATCGTCATCCTACTAAGGAGCACTCCCCAAGTAAGAGTAATTAATATTTTCATTAGAATCACCTTAAGCGTCGATATTAATTTTGGAATCATGAATATTTCATGAGTCACCATTCCCATCCAGGATCTGGTATATTTCCACTTACTAAGGTTTTCTCTTATGAGCTACTTGGATTCAACAAGATCACTTACTTTTTGAACATATTTCTCTATATTGGTTGTTGATATTGGACCTGCTACGAATGATACCTATCACCTACTGTATCTTAAAATGGGTTATTTTTAATATAGAGGAAAAGTCTTTTGGTGCATATTTCTAACAGAGAAATATTTTAACATGGACATGTATGTACATAGATATTAGAGTATACACAAGTATAATTATTTTATGCTTATTCTATACTAGGGGTATACTTAGTAATTATCACAATAACTTATATATTATTTCAATGCCTATATTATTATTTATATTATTACTATACTATGTATTAAGATAGTATACTAGCAACAATATCATATGCTGATATATGCACATGTTTTATTATATAGAACATGATATACTATTACTAAAGACATATGTATACGTTATAGTATATTATTATAGTTTATATTATATATTATATATGTGAAGTATATATTTAGGCTGATGCTGGCAAGCATCTAAGTATTGTCATGGTTAGTACCTGATTAATAATTTTTTTAAAATATTTTATTTATTTTTTCATGAGAGACTCACACAGAGAGAGAGGCAGAGACACAGGCAGAGGGAGAAGCAGGCTCCATGCAGAGAGCCCGACGTGGGACTCGATCCCAGGACTCCAGGATCAGGCCCTGGGCTGAAGGCGGCGCTAAACTGCTGAGCCACCCGGGCTGTCCTAATTAATAACTGTTTTAAAAATCTCTCAAAACATTGAGAAGAGAGCCAGTTAAAAGCATTGATCAATATCATGCTTAAAGTTACAATATTGAAACTATTTCATTAATATAAGTTATAAAAGAAGACTTTTTCTGTCATTATTATTATTACTCATTTTTAAGATTATTTGATTAATTAAATTAACAGAAAACCTAAATACATGTGTACTTAGAATAAGACCTGAAGTTGAGGGATCCCTGGGTGGCGCAGCGGTTTGGCGCCTGCCTTTGGCTCAGGGCGCGATCCTGGAGACCCCGGATCGAATCCCACGTCGGGCTCCCTGCGTGGAGCCTGCTTCTCCCTCTGCCTGTGTCTCTGCCTCTCTCTCTCTGTCTGTGACTATCGTAAATAAATTAAAAAAAAAAAAGACCTGAAGTTGATATTGTTAATGGACATAATTGTCTATCTCGAGAAACCTAGAAAGTGTAATAAAACTATTATTATATGTATATACTATGTAATGTGCCTTATTAATTATAATACTGTATATAATCTATAATTACATAACACAATATATGAAAATATACTAATAGTTATATATTGATAATATATTAATAATATAATACATTACCAATAATGTAACTATATTATATATTATACATAATATAATTGTAATTATGCAATATGTACACGAATATTTGTTTTATTAGACGACAGTTTTCAGCATAGATAATCATATATTTTATTGTTACGAAGTAAGTTTCAGATGTTTCTATTCTTAGTATTTCAAGAGATTTAAAAAAATAATAATTACATAGTGGTCATGGAAATGCATAACACCTTTATATAAAAATGAATTTATGTTATAAATGTAATACGTTTCTTTCTAGCAGCAACTGAAAAAGATCATATAAAAATGTATAGATATGAATGTATTTATACAGTCATCGGATTTATATCATACAAATTTATATATTTATTATATGGTATATATAATATATTATCATTGTTTATTATATTATATAGTATAGATATCACATAAGACAAATATACACAAATATTATAGAGACTGTATAGTACAAGTATATATATACACATATACACTTCTCAGTTGCTGCTAGACGGGTGCTAATCATTTCCATGGGCACTACCTAATTATTTTTTAAAGATTTTATTTATTTATTCATAAAAGACACAGAGAAAGAGAGAGGCAGAGACACAGGCAGAGGGAGAAGCAGGCTCCACGCAGGGAGCCCGACGTGGGACTCGATTCCAGGACTCCTCCAAGATCACGCCCTGGGCTGAAGGCAGCGCTAAACCGCTGAGCCACCTGGGCTTCCCATTACCTAATTATTTTTTAAACTTCTCTCAAAGTTACTTGACAATTGTAAAGAATAGAACTATGTTGGAAACCCTAGAGATTTCTGTGATGCTGGAAATAGACGTATCATATTTAACATTTTATATATGCATTTCATACACGTGTCTTGGTATTTGCGTGTACAGGTAACTTTCTCAGACAGTTTGGCCGTCTCCTAGGCTCCTGCAGCCCTGTCCAGGGGAGCCGCCGAGTGCACCTGCACAACCTCGCACACAAGCAGCCCAGAATCCCAATCCTAGACATCATCACTTTTGTGCAAACAGGTCCAGCCAAGCCTCTCCTCCTGCTGCCTTGGCTTATCTGTCTGCCTCACCTTGGACACTCACCCTCTCCTCCCAATCTGGAGGAACCTGCTCTGAGCTACTGAATTCACCAAGACTCCTGTCGGATGCATGACTAATTAGGCCCCAGAGGATTTCCCCTGGGTCAGGTAGGGAATGTCATTTGCATTGGAAGCCTCCATCTGGGTTTGAGGAAGCAGGAAGCCAGGTGGAGGGTGGGTAGGTGGGAGTTTCCGAAGCTTTCCCAACACCTGTGAAATGACAGCCTGTAGGAGTCTGAGGGGTTATGGAATGCTTCAGAAGAACCTAGCCATGTTTCCTCGTTTCTGTCCATCTCTGTCAGACCCTCCACCAGCACCACTGAGCTAGGGAATAGGAGTGAGTGGGTCTGATTCTGGCTCCTCGGGGCATGACCTATAACCTGGAGCCAGCCCACAATATCTCATGCTTTTCTTTCCTCATCTTCCAAGGGGAATAACAAGGATGAGTATGATCCCCATCTCCTAGAATGTTTACGGGGATCAATCCAGAACACACCGGAGCAGTGCATGTCATAGGAGTCAAGCCGTTTATTCGATCAATAGATCCCCCTGTTTAACCATTAAGAGTGCACTTTAACAAATGTATTAGTATGATATCCCAACCAGGACCTTATTTCATGTATTTCTGAAATTACATGTCGAAACAGATGATTATTTGTCCTGAAAGCTCAGTTCTGCCTGGACAGACAAACATACCCAACCCATGGGTCCCAATGGCTTATGAATTTCAGGCACATTCTTTGAAAATATGGCTTTCAAATACCCGGCATGTCTGCAAAGCTTCAGCGCACCCATGGGGAGGTGTGTCATCACCTGAGGACCACGGAAAAAAATCCCATGGGGATCAAACCCCACCTGGAATACCTTACTTGCTGCATTAATGCCACATCATTTGTTATATTAACTTAGCTTGCTAACTTTGTCTTGATTTAAAATTTTAAAGCAAATAGGATTCGTTTGTGGTCTTTGTCTGTTTTTAGTGATGACATCCTGACTTGGCGTTCTTTACATACTTCACACACCCAGACACACACACACACGTGCTTACAGAAACATAGACATATGTGCCTATGTTTAGTCAAATAGTATTTATATTTTAAATAATTTTTAGGAACACCTGGATGGCTCAGGTGGTAAAGCATCTGCCGTCGGCTTAGGTCACGATCCTGGGATCCTGGGATGGAGCCCCACATCAGGCTCCCTGCTCAGTGGGGGTATCTGCTTCTCCTTCCCCCAGTTCTTCTTTTCTCTCTCCCTCAGTCTTAAAGAAATAACGAAAATCCTTTTTAAAATTTTTAAAAAATAATTTTTAAATGTTTTCTATATTTTTAAGACTGTGAATTGACAATATTTTTTGGCTTCCCTTTGCTCACGCTTGAATTCTCTCTTTCTAAAAAGATCCTACTTATTTGTTCAAGAGACAGAGTGAGAGAGCAGAGGGAGGAGCAGAGGGAGAGGGAGAAGCAGACTCTTGTGCTGAGCACAGAGCTCAAGACAGGGTTCAATCCCAGGATCCAGAGATCACGACCAGAGCTGAAACCAAGAGTCAGGTGCTCAACCGACTGAATCAGCCAGGTGCCTCGGTCAGTCTTATTTCTCTGATTACTAAAATCTATTTCATGCCAACATCCCACATTTGGAGGTTGTTATAACCAAAAGCTTCTGTCCTGCCAACACACGAGGCCAGCCCCATGAGCTTTTCAGCCATCCTGTCGCAAAACTGGAGCCTGACTTGCTCACTAATATACGTACCATAGAAACACTGGGAGCTCCATGGAGAGGGCAAGCATTGAGTGTACTTTTGCGCTGACTTTGCTTAGGACTTCCACTTGCGACATCGTTGGGGCAGCCCTGGGGGCCGTGTCTGGGTGTCCTGAACTATCAAAACATGGAGTTCCCATCTCTGTAGGTCCTGCCACTTACCCACCATGGAGTCCATCTCCTGCACGTTGTCCCCGTATAAGCCATGCTTGCTGGTGCCAATGAACTCGGTTGTTGTGGGGAGAGGCACATGTACGTGCAGAAAGGTAAAAACAAGGAGGAAAGGTCCTTCACGGTTCCTGGAGGGACATCAATCACTTAGCATATGAGTTTGCAAAGTGTGGGGAAGTAGATCACATCATTTTTTTGTCACACAGTGTCCGTCTGTCCCCAATGCACCCCAAGAGAGCAGATGCACACATGAAGCAGAAACCCTCCAGGCTGGGGTGGATCTCAGGATCCCCTAGCATTTGGACTGCTCCCCAAGGACACATGTGGGACAGCTAGATTCCTGAGTAGCCCCACCTGGCACGATGGAGCTCATAAGCCCATCCAGCTCTGCTTGGCACACCTTCCCATGGCTAATAGTCTCTCAGGCCACAGTAACACCTGACAGACCCAAAGGGGATGGTGGCTCGGGAGTGGTTTCTTAGATATGCCAACTCTTTCACAACCCCCAAGCAAGCATGGACAGAAACATCTTGGCAGCATGTCTCCACACCTTCAGATATCCTGTGAGGACATAGGAAATGAGGTTGGCCCACTTTGAGCTGTGATGATCCACAGGGAATGTAGGTCAGCAGCTAACCAGAGCAGCACATGGCACAAATGAGTCTTTGGGAAATTTCTACTCTGATGATATATCATGGTGTAAAGAATGACGGAAAAAATGAAAAAAGAAAGTTGCGCTATGGAGAGCTGGGTTGAATCGCATCTTTCCACAACTGATGTCCACCAGAAAGCTCAGAAAATTTCTGCTGAGTTAAGCCTCTCGGTTTTTGGCACTTTTTAATGGCATCACTATGAAGCTGACACACGTCGTACTGAGGATTGAGATGATACCTATGTTGCTTTATGTAGCAAAAGGTAATCTGCAGATGGGATTAGGTTCAGGATCTTGAGATGGGGAGATAAGTTCAAATTCTTCTGAATCACAAAGGTCCTTGAAAGCGGGACCCCAATATGGTCAAAATCGGGCAAAAATAGTGTGGATAAGTGATAACCGAAGTAGAGATGCAACCAATCAGCTATACACCAAGGAAATACTGCAGCTTCTCCAATCTGGGATGAGAAACAGACTTCCCCTGAACCTCCAGAATGGGCTAGTGCTGCCAATGCCTCGATTTTAGCCCTGTAATGTGAGATTCGGATTCTTGACCTCCAGTTCCATAAAGTAATACATTTGTGTTGCTTTAAGCCACTCTCATTTTCAGAAACCTGTTCCAGCAGCCATAGGAGACTCACACACTCAGAATCCAGATAAAAGCAATTTCTAGCATCTGTGAACCTACGCCACATGCTCATGGCCACATTATTAATCAGTGGAGTGAGCAAGTTTTGGTGATGGAAGTACATTTTTCACACCCCAGTATTTGTTCATGATGTACTAATGTAAACAGTAAGCAACGCCCTGTGCGGGTGTCTTCAGACTTAAAGGGGCTCACAGAATGGAATAGAATCTCTCATCTTGAGCTCTTGGTGTGACAAATGCCACCTCACAACATGCTAATGTGTCCCTTTGCAAAACATCTGTGCTTCTGCGCATATGGAAGGTAGCAGGGAATAAAGAGCTTGCCGTGAATGAAACCAGCCATTCCATTGCATCTACAATGCAAAGATGGTTTAATCTCTCACAGACTCTAAATTTGTATTGTGTCCACCTTGACTATAAGGTAAGGACCAAGCTAGATACAAGTTGCCCAAGAGCCTTTACACCACCAAACAGTGCTATGTGCCAAACACACCAGCTTACAGATCCCTACCTCAGGATGATCTCAACCTCAATGATGACTCCTCCACAGACCTTATTCCCAAGATCACCTGCTGAGTTTCTAGGTAGACATGAATTCTGGAGGGATGCCATTTAACCCAGATCATCATGATACAACTTCTTAAACATTCATTTTCCCCTTTCTTGACATTGTGATATTTATCAGAGCACAAATTTTTCAGAGTGGCATTTGCATTATGTGCTGCCCTCATTAGCTGAGGGCCTATCTTGCTTGTGCTTCAGCTTCATGCAGTAATGCCTGGCCGCTTCTTCATGTCATCCTTGTTCACCTTTGAACATTCAGTCAACATATCTTCTCAAGTATGGCTTTCCTGATATCTTGGAAAATCCCTACAGTTTGGACTGATACCACCCTGGATTTATGCCCACTAGCTTATTTCTTATCATGGGCTTGTACATATGTGATCATCAATGATATCAACTTGTCCCTGACATCCAGACCCCAGGATGGCGATCGTTAAAGATAAAGCTTCAGTCAGTGTTGCAATGGCCAATAGAAAATGTGTTCACATTCTCTCTCTCTCTCTTTTTTTTAATATTCAAAAAGTGAAGGCCCATAAATGTGGCTCCTTTGGAAAGTTTCCAGAGACTTTGTTCTGCATGCATTGGGCTTTATAATGATCACCACTGACCTCACCTGAATAATACCCTTTACATATCTCATGCTCAATGATAAGCCCTCTGATTTTAACTTCTCAAAGAGAATTTTTGCCTAACAGGAAAACAGCACAGTGACCAACCTACTCTACTATCTAGTTTCCTGGTAAATGCATTTCCCACTGTGCATTAATATGCAGACAATATAATTATTAATATTATTAACCATAAATTAATAAACCAGATTTCTAAGTGTGAGTCTACCTGCTTTGGTCTGACCAAATATGAATTTGAAGGCCAATGGAGAAATTGTGATTTTAATAACAAAAGTTCAAATGAGATGGCCCCCCTTAGGTACTACCTAAAGAGTCTAACTGGCATCCAAAATATACAGTATTGTATTGTCTAGTCCTAAGTAGTAATATTCCATTTCTTTTCTCGGTATTGTTCAAAGCATGACCTCTTATTTTTAAAAAATACTAGTTCTGTTAACTCTGTCTTAAACCCCTTAAAATACATGGACTTTTAAAATTATCTTTACCTTTCCATAAATGAAATCGCCTCCTTCACCATGATGGAGCCAGCTCGCTCTGCCTTCATGGGCTGTTCGGTGATATCGTGCTCCCGCATGAGGAGGCAATCCCAGTACAGAGGAGATTTGTAACTGGAGAACCAAAAGTAGCCCAGCAGAAAAATAAAAAGAATCATACAGAAGATGAGGGACCAGCGAAGAGAGATCAAGCGACTCAGTTTCCCCAGGGCAAGCGTGAGTGCAGCAACAGCGACCAGCTGCACACAAAGCCATATTTTGCTCCCGATGGCTAATTCTGTGTCACGAGAGGGGTCTGGCCAGCAGGGGTCAATCAGAGTGAATGGCATGCCATAGTAGTAATCAAACCCATAATGATACGGATGATGGCACTGGTCATATCGGGACTGGCAGTTTAAGCCTTGATGCCATTTGCCTGAAATTACAAACAGACAAATTAAGCATAGTATGCTCACACACCATGAAGATCACATGAGCACTCTTCATTCAAAACAGACGACTCATGCACAAAAATGGAGCAGCAAATAGTTATCTTTTGCTTAAAAATCTGATTTCAGGACCTGATTCACCTTTTGCTCTCTTTTGCTTCACAGAAATTTGTGTTAAGAACTCATGGTGAGTGACAAGATAAGATGAAAAATAAAGGGAGGGAAATACAGTTGTGAGTTTGTAGCAAGGATGTGAACTGGGCAGTTTCTCCTCAACAGAAAGAAAAAAAAGTCATAGGCACAAAGATGAATACATGACAGAGACAGGATAGATTATAGCTGGTGGATAAACTGGTGAGTAGGTAGGTAGATAATCGATATAGATAATGAGATAGATATGATATAAGGTGGATGGACAACAGGGAAGATGGATGGATGGATGGATAGATAGATAGATAGATAGATAGATAGATAGATAGATAGATAGATAGTAGATGGGTGGATAGATGTAAATTATACCTACAAAGATAGATAAATGCTAGAGATAAGATAAATGATGAATAGATAATGAATGGGTGGAGATGATAGATGATAGATAGATGATAGATAGATAGATGATAGATAGATAGATAGATAGATAGATAGATAGATAGATAGATAGATGATAGAATGGAAGATAGATGGGGCATGTGTACACATATGCATAGGTGGATAGATTGATAGATGAGGATGGATAGATGGGTACACTGATAACATATAGATATAGATATAGATATAGATATAGATATAGATATAGATATAGATAGATGATAGATGATAGATATAGATAGATAGATAGATAGATAGATAGATAGATAGATAGATAGATATAGATGAATGATGGAGGATGGACCAAGCATGGATAATGGATGGTTGGATAGCTCGCTGGATGGAAACCCCAGGTCTACCACTGAAGTTCACTGAACTTTATTTGACAAAACTTGCCATGCCTTGAATGGTAACAAAAAGATCCATGGGCATCCTGTTGGGATGTGGACTCAAAGAGACTATGGGCATGTGTAGCCACTAAAATGTTAATAGTTCTCCGCATGGAGTAAGGGCCACATGGCAGATGGACATACTCACATCTCTGAACACCTGAGAAGGTAAGCAGATGAGAGGCAAGGCTAGGGCCGAGGTTTTTCTGTCCTGACCTCCATTAAGACTGTCCTCTCTTATCAATGTCAAATTGGTTACAAAAATTGATTAAAAATAGCATGTTATTTTCATGCCAGTTGAAACCCAGGCTCTCAAATAGGGACAGTAGGTTTAGCTTCAAATTAGTCATCATCGGTTGAAGTCTATCATCTTTGGCAGTGAGAAAAAAGACATCCGTACAACATCGATGGTTCCATTTCAATGATAATGAGGTGAGCACGAGGACGTATACTGAGAAAATATACACGCAGAGACAGGCTGACAAATTTGATCGTATTGTGCAACATTTGCATTAAAACATCTCCTGTGTCTCTCATCCTTGGGAAGAAGCAATTACCTTATCTTTGAAGTTAGGGGGGATGGGTTATTCCCAGACATCCCTTCTGCCTGTAAGTTATCAATGATTCTGTCAATATGCAATGCAATTAACTAGAGATCATGATTCTTACCATCCCATTGCAGTGCAATTAGGAGACTAACTGGGGGGTAGCCCCGGTGGCGCAGTGGTTTAGTGCCGCCTGCAGCCCGGGGTGTGGTCCTGGAGACCCGGCATCGAGTCCCACATCGGGCTCCCTGCATGGAGCCTGCTTCTCCCTCTGCCTGTGTTTCTGCCTCTCTCTTCACTCTCTCTGAATGAATAAATAAATAAATCTTTTTAAAAAAAAAAAAAAGGAGACTAACTGGGGATTCAATCATTGCCAAAAGAGAGCACCATTATCGTCTCCTCTACATTGACTCTCTCAAGCTGTAGGAGTGGTGCAAGGGGGAGCTAACCCAGGGAGACAGACTGGAAGGGGCCAGTGGAAACTTTCTGGGACAACCGAAATGCCCCTTATCTTGATTTGGGTGACACATACAGGGTGTGTTTTTTCTATTTGGGTGATGGGTATAGGGTGTAGACATTTATACGGAGTCAAAAGTTGACTTTTCATAAGAAATGCATAAGGCTGTTTGTGTGTTCTTGACAGGGCTCGTCACAGTTCTTAAATCATACGTGGTGAATGATATGAAGGATTTCAGAGCCTGCAGAGAATAATATGGAAAGACCACCAGAGTATAGTGTGGCCCGCATTGGGCTCCGTGCTCAGTGCAGAGTCTGCTTCAGATTCCCTCTCCCTTTTCCTCCGCCCCTCCCACTCATGCTCTCACTCTCTCTCTCTCTCTCAAATAAATAAATCTGTAAAAAAGAATAGAACAACACATATTATTTCGTGAAAGTAAATACGTCACGCCTGTGGCTGCTTCTCACCTATCAGTGCCGTGCTATACCCTTGCTTCTTCAGTAAGGCTGCAAACGTCGTCTCATTATGAGGGAGTCCCGCGGGGGCTCCAAGTGTGATGATGACACGATCCACTGCGTTAGAAACCATTCCTGAGTGGGATGAAAAAACAAAACCAAAAAACAACACATCACACACACACACACACACACAGTGAGTAGGAGCCTGTCAGCTAAAGAGGAAGTGAGTCACGGATGGTTCAGGAGCTGACATTGGGGTATCTGAGAAGACCTGACGCATAGTTTTTGAACCTCTGCATTCCTTCCCCAAAATAGAGCAATAAGCGAAGAAAACTGCTCACCCATGGACATCACTAATGGCAAAACTAGGTGACAGGTACATGGGGACATGTCAACCATAAGCCCAAGACCTACATTTTACAGGACAGGAAAGCAAACCAGTTTCTGAAGGACCCAGTAACCAAAGAACCAACCAGAATAGCCAACAGGTGTTCCCTGGAGAGGACTGAAAACAGAGGGACATTTCCCAGCCCCACTGCCAGAGTTCCAAGGGCGCTGGGTGTATTGAAAACGTTGCAGCTATCCAGCCTGAAGAACTCCCTAAACCAACCCATCCTGGCTTCCTTCCAAAATGGCAGCCCAACCCTGAAGCAATACCTGGGAGCAGACAGAAAATTGAATAAGACAAAACAAAGTAGGTGAAAAGGAAGAGAAATTCCAGATAAAATCAGGAGAGACAAGTCAGGTGGAGACTTTCCGAGAGGGACCTCCCGTCATTTAAATACCATATACAAGGAGGTGAGAGAAATGTCTTCCAAGTTAGATTTGCTGACCATGCCCTCTACAGGAAACCATCTTCTTCTGAGTAGTTTTACATAACGTGTGCAGCGCGGAGCAAAAGAAAAGAGTCAGATCGCCTATAAGTTTACCGTAAGAGGGAAAAAAAAAAAAGGATAAAGAACTTATCGTTTATTGGACCCAGCTCACCTTAGCACCAGCTAAGCAAGACATCGTCAAACTCATGGGATCCGCGAGGTTATGTGACACCCTCGGGAGCTGGACGAGGGGCATTTCCGCCTTGACGGAGAATGGGACACAGATCCTGACCTGCGAATTGTATGCTCTGCTTCCTCTTAACTACAGAATCTGTGCCCATAAAACATGACCGGTCTCATCACCTTTGAAAATATAACCATACGGTCCCAGCCATTCCACCCCTTGGTGTGTATCCAAAGGAATTAAAAATACGTGTTGAGTCAAAAACATGTATGCGCAGGTACAGAGCAGAACTATTCATAGGAGCCTAAAGCCAGAAACAGCCCAATGGCTGGTCAATTGAGGGATGGAGAAACCAAACGGCTAAAATGTGCGATAAACGATTGAGACATTCTGGTAAGTCCTCCTCATGACACCCGATTAGTGGAGACGCGTCCAGTCAATTAGTTCCTTCCAAGACAGCTTCTCACTCTCGCCCTGGGATGGCAAGTCCTGCCTAAGCCAGATCGCAGGATGCACAGGGTGAATGGACATAGCCACGCACGGCGGGCTCGAGTCAAGTGGAGGAACCGTGGTTTCCACGCGGGCATCGATAGCTGTGTATGCAACCATGTGTGTACGCGTGTGCGTGTTTGAACTATTTTGGAGCAAACTTTTCAAAATGGACTAGCTACGTATCATTTCGTTGAATCCTAGGGTCTCTACAGAGACTTCCCCGTCTACACACCTGATCGGATGGGGTATCTCCCCGTGAGGAAGGCAGCCCGGCTTGGGGTGCACATGGAGGCTGCGGCGATGTGATGGTTTAGCTGCACCCCTTCCCCGGCTAGGCGGTCGATGTTAGGCGTCCTGGATTGAGAGACAGAAAGGGAATTGCAGAGAGGAGGCGGGGAGACACAGACAGAGGCGGAAACCAACACCTCCGTTTACGACGATTCCCCAAGCTCAGAACGGGAGAAAAAAGTAACTGCACACGGCGCCCTATTTCCTTTTTCTCCCCACATCATGGAAAAAATACGGCTGAGGCTTTAGGCAGTCGTTGTCTATTGCAGGGTTGATATAATTTGGTTCTGCAATATGGTGTCTACTGAGTATACGGCCCTGCCTTCTAAAATATATATATAAATACGCGTCTGTGGACTGATTAATTAAGGCTAATGACTCACAGATCTTGGTTATGCCTAGCTGCTACTTACGGACACGAGAACGCGATCGATGCACGTGTTCTATAGACTCACGTCCCTGCTCTAGACAAATGTTGCAACCGCTGCCTTGCCATTCCCTATAAAGATCCCTGCAGGTTGGAGACCATCAGAGAGACTTCCACAGAAGAGAAATAGTCACTGGCTGGATGCAAATAAATTGTAATGAGCTTTCTTAATGAGAGATATGATAGAACAAAGTGGAATTTTGTCCTGCCAAGACATGCTCCCAAGCTGTGATGTTTTCAAGACTCCCATAAATGGCTTCTGTTGAGCCTACCGCAAAGCTCGGGCTTGGTTTCATGTATGTTCTTTTCTTCTTTCAGAGTGCCCGTTCTTAAAATAGAAGGCTATCACCTTAAAAGCGTTCCGAAATTAGGAAGCATAAAGTGACCAAGTTCCATCGCGTAAAAAGTATGCGTAAAAATGATCGCTCCTCAGGGGCGCCTGGGTGGCTCAGTCTTTTGAGTGAGTGGCTCTTGATTTCAGCTCAGGTCATGAGCTTGGGGTCATGGGATCAAGCCCCGAGTTGCGGAGTCTGCTTGGGATTCTCTCTCTGTCCTTCCCCCATTCTCTCTCTCCCAATAAATTCATGCATCTTTGAAAAAAAGCATCAGTCATCATAATATTGCGTATCACAGAGGGCTCACTATGTGGCAGGTAACTACTCTAAATGCTTTGCACATACGAACGCACACCTGTATACTCCCCACCTGTGTGCTCAGCCAACAAGAAGGATAAGCAAGGCACACAGAAGTAACTTGCTCAAGATTTCACCGCCAGTAAGTGCAGACCCAAGATTCAAATCCAAACTGTCCTCATTTTAATATTCTTTTATTTCTTTTTAAGATTGTATTTATTTATTCATGAGAGACACACAGAGAGAGGCAGAGACCCAGGCAGAGGGAGAAGCAGGCTCCCCGCGGAGAGCCCGATGCAAAACTCAATCCCAGGACCCCAGGATTACTCCCTGAGCCCAAGACAGATGCTCAACTGCTGAGCCACCCAGGTGTCCCTTATTTTCTTCTTTTAAAGACAAATTCCAACCCATGGATTTGGTTTTCCACGTGATGTAGCCATAAAACTTTATCAAGCTCCCAAGCCCAGACAACAGATGAAATAGCGCAACTCAACTCGAAGCCATACCTGATTGTGTCATTGCCAAAGCAGCCCAAGTCACCGATCCCAAGGTCATCCACCATCATCAGGACTATATTAGGCTTATCATCATGTACCTCTTGGGACTGGCATGGGTTTAAGAGTACACACATCCAAGACAGAGCGACGAAGAGGCTCCTGAAAAGCAAGCACAGATGTTGCACGGATGATTTAAGGAGCTGCGTCCCATTGCACTGTCCCCTTCTCATGAAAGCAACAGGACTCATGAGAGACCAGGCACATCTCCCTTGAGGAACAAGTGAGCCTCTCGGATTTCTCTCCCTAAGCATTGGCTGCTGCTGTGGAATGGGGCCCATGATGCTCACAGGGAGCCTCTCCTGGGTCTCCAGCTCACATACACCAAACGCTCTTCCAGAAGATGAAATCTGAAATTGTTTGCTTAGAGACAAAGCGTTTCTTAGGCCAGAGGCAATAAGACTCCTGAGGTCACGTCCTTGGGAGATGGAGCCAGCTGACTTTCCTTCACGGCAAACAGAATTCAAACGCGGGTGGGCGTAGAGCTTTGCCAAAGGGACATTTGGTTGAAGGGAATGAAAACAGCCAGAAAAACAAGGAAAAAGTAATCCCAGGGTAAAGGGGAATGGAGAATGTCGGCGAAGAACTAAATTCTGAAAAAAGGAGCAGCCCGGACTCTGAAGACCAGTCTAATCTCCTTCACAATGCTGTTCAATCCCAGTAAAAGTCCCATTTTCTCAAAGAAATATATGATTCCCTTCCCACTGGATCCCTCTTTGATTATTAGGTAACGAATATTGGACACTTGAACTATTAGTTGCATCTCCATCTTGTCTTTATCCACATTTCAAAACCCACCTCAAATATTTCCTCTGGGAGGGGGGAGACAAGTGGTCGCTGACCCTCCTCTGTGCTCCCAGAACCCTTCGTAAATGCTCAGAAGCAACGCTGACCGCGTGAGTTGCAACATTTTGCTTTTACCCAAACCTATTCCCCAAGACTGGGACCTGTGTGCCCGGGACTTTTCCCGTTGTCAGATCACAATAGTCAACATGCGTGTTTTCATCTACCCAAAGTGGGTTGAAGTGCTCTTCTCACGTCCTGGTCTTACAAAATCTCATTTGTTGTTATTTTTATCGTTGAAGTGTAGTGAGCGCACAGTGTCACGTTCATTTCTGGGGCACAGCGCCGTGATTTGATAGTTGGACAAGTCTATATGTTATGCTATGCTCGCCACACCCAGAGCCCTGCAACACCTGTCACCATGCAATGCTAGTAAAACATCTGCAGTATCTTAAAATAATACGGCTGTGTTGGAAATCCGCAGTTCACATGTATCAGCTGCCAAAATATCTCCCATTTCATTATGGACTTACCGACGTCAGAATATCACCGTACATGTTTACACCCAACCATATCTAGGAAACACAACATCGAATGCCAGTTATCTGTAAAGCTGAATTCACGGGTGTTCCCAGATTGTCAGTTACACTCAATGCATTTGCAAAATAGCTCATTACTTCCCTCACCTGAGCTTCATCACAAGGCGCTGAGTGCCTTCTTATTTCCCTTGGCCAGAGATAAAAAACGTGCTGAAAAACACAAACATGGGTTATCTCCGTGTTAATTACATTAGTCTCCATTGTGAAATCCTCACAAGATCACAAAGCCCTATTTCCACTTCCAACATTTAAAACTGGTTTTTGCAAAATCTGTCAGGACACGAACCTTCCACCATCAAGGACTCTGCTGCTCTCACTTTCTTTGCTTTCAAGGAACTCGGGTTGTACCGGGTCTGGGGTCCACCTGCTTCTTTGTGTCTCTTGAGTTAACTGACTCAGTCCCCAAACCTACCCTAATATACGTCTGCATGACAGCATAGTCTTGAGGAGCTGCTGAACCTAACAGCTTCTACTCAGAACGTCTGCATGGGATGAATTTAGGTCACCTTAAAAGGCGTAGTTGCTTAAATGTATCTACTGCTTTGGTTTTGTGTTAGCGCAAATCCACAGCACTCTATGGTGATTTTAGGATAGCTCATCGTCGTATCCCATGAGGGGGGACAGGGATGGGCACAGGATATTACAGTGAGATTCATTTCCATGAAAGACAACAAGCATTCATCTTCCACCTGCAAGCTGTTACTCATATTTATAATTAAAATAATATTGGGAACATAATACGAACCACCTCCTTCATCAGTCTGTCTTACCCAAAGCAAGATGCCACAGACCACAAGAGAAGGAGCTATTGGCTAAGATATGGAAACGAAGGAAGGAGAGAGAAAGGAGAGAAGCTTATTCAAACAAACATTGGTTTATAATCAACCTCTCAATGCCTAAGCTGATCCACTGGGTTCTAGAAAATAGTCACCCGGGACGCCTGGGTGCCTCAGCAGTTGAGCATCTGCCTTTGGCTCAGGGCGTGATCCTGGGGTCTGGGATCGAGTCCCACTTCGGGCTCCCCGTAGGGAGCCTGCTTCTCCCTCTGCCTGTGTCTCTGCCTCTCTCTCTGTGTGTGTCTCTCATGATTAAATAAACGTTTCTCAAAGGAAGGAAAGGAAATAGTTAGCCAAGGAGGCTTCCGAAATCCCAAGTCTGCCCATGACAACAGAAACAAATCAAGAAGCAAGAAGAATCAAGAAGCTCCATCCTAATAAGGATTCCTCAACTCACCTGTCAAGTGATGTGGTCTACCTGATGTCCAGGAGAAAAGAAGAGAGTCTTGAACTCTTGCTCCTCCTCAACAGCCACCTGGACTCGTTAGCCAAATGTCACCCTGCAGGTACCACCTCCCTCTGCAACGAGGAGGCTGGTCCACCCTCTGCCCACCCAGATGCTTCACATTTGTGAGACACAAATGAGGCATCCTGATTTGCCTCCCTGATTTGCATCTCCTTGTACAAGCCCAGGGTGTGTGGCGGTGGGGGGGGAATCCTAGTCAGCAAAAGCCTTGCAACCTTCCCTGCAGTAACTGAGACTTTTTATCTGTGACTACCACCAAAATGATTCATCAAGCCCAAGAAGGCTGGCTCTCCTACAGGGGAATGATCGCTTGATCCTGTCCATTGGATTCTGATGACTTCAGGAACTCCAGCGTTGCCTCGAGGCAACCTGTGTACCCAACTAGAGGAAGGAAAATACAATCTCTCCCCAACCCCCAGCATTATTTCTCCATTCTGTTCAGGAAGATGAACTATGAGGAATAATTTGGGGGCTCATGGACATACTATTTCTCAGCACGATGCCCCAAGTGGATTACCATCAAGCAGCAAGTGAAGCATAGCGAGACAGAGACAATCTCCCATATGATGAAAGGATCTGGGCGTAGAAGAACCAAGGCATTGTTATCCTACACATGAAGAAAAGCTCATGAACACCCAGTTAAACAAACCAGAGCAGTTTGGGGATTAGCTGAACAGATTCTCATTAAAAAGCCCTCTTCCACCAGAACATAGTTCTCTATATTTGTCTCTTTCTCTCTCTCTCTCTCTCTCTTTTTTTTTTTTTTTTTTTTTTTGAGGGGGGAAATAGGATGTCTCATTCCAGGTGCCACTATCTGGTTCTACCATAGAAACCAGATCCTGGACCATCGGACGCAATACACGGATTATCCCCAGGTCATCTTTGTTCCCCGGGGAACTCTGCATGGGAATGGTATAAAAACACCAAAAAGCATGCATTAAGACGTTCTGAACCCATTCTGTGGAATGAGCACCACAAAGGGTACACCAAGTTTTCATCCTGAACAATAAAATAAAAGGCATAAAAGTGTTTCCAGATACAGATTCCCACGGCAGCTCCATAATCAGCGGATTTAAAGTCTCGCCGGTATGTTCATTCGACAGCCCTTCTCCTTCCACGTTCTGGGGGCTGTTATTATGCATCCCGTTTCTCTTTGTGTTGTGGGGTGAGATTCTCAGGGAGTTGCACGGGGCCCTTAGCCATCGTAGCATAAAAGGTTTTCCACACTTGCACACTTGCACTCCGCGCCAGTAATTTGTTTTCATAGGATTTGCACATCTTGATATGTTCGGCGCTTGCTGGCTGCCCCTTTATGTTAATAAATGCGACTAAGTGGCCATTATGTGTCCCGTTTCAAGTGTTGATTAATGCTACTTAATCAGTCATCCTTATATAATGCAATGCCACTATTATAAGCAACCATCCTAAAAGTCCAGAAACAAAACCATCAGAAGACAAGATGCAAGACGTCAGCCAGACTGGCCTCACGTTTCTTGAGTTGTATTCATCAGATACGATCCTATTAATGACGACGATTTGAAATCAACCCCATCCCCAGATTGAGTGCTTTATGGGAATGAGTTGGAAAACCCTGATTTTACCTAAATAGGTATGATTTGACACCTGGCTAGTCTCCTTGAAAGAAACGCACGAATCTTAAGAGGTAAACCTTAACAGATGCTTGAACAGGACTTTGAGGACGTGCAGACATTTGTGATCATGTTTTGGGCGTGGTGTCCCTGGTCACCGTCTTCCAAGAAAAATTGATAAGATGCCTGCTTTGTCGAGGTTTGCAGGTTTCTGAGAGTGCAGGCTCTGCCCATGGAACAGGGCGTTGCCTCCAATAGGAGGTGGAGTTAGATCGTAAACACGCACCTGTTTACCACGGATGGTGGAGAACTTTGCTAAGCTCCTTAGACTCTCAAGTTCACGTTCCTAATGGATGGAATCATATGTTCATAGTCGTTGCTGTTAAGGTAACCCGCTCAAGGACCATCCGTGGCTGCAGCCACTGATAATTTGAGGTGCCCCCTGGAAAGGGAGTCATCATCCTCATCCTTCACAATGGTCAGATGCTGAGGATTGGATAGACCACACCAAGTGACACGGAATCAGATTCTCCTACCCTCCCTATAGATGAAAAGACGTATGAGCCCAATAACAAGCACAAACCCTATCCTCCCTTTCTGACGTAAAAACATTGCCTGCCAATAATCCAGTGTCGGGGAGGCAGCAACACATAACTCATTTTTGCAATGAGTAACACACTGAGAATATCCTTTATGGAAAAGTGGCCAAGGGCGCTTGAGTGCCTCAGTCCATTAAGCATCTGCCCTGGGCTCAGGTCACGACCTCAGAGTCCTGAGATGGAGCCTGGCGCCGGGCTTCCTGCTCAGCCGGGCGTCTGCTTCTCCCTCCGTTCCTCCACCCACCTCGCGTTCCATCGCTTACTCTCTCTCAAATAAATGAGATTTTTTAAAAAGAAAATGACCAGAGTCCCACCCGACGTTGGAGAACTAACTCTTCTGCCTCCAAGCAAAATCGCATTCGTTCATTGCGACACCGGGGAAGCTGTTCGGTATCTGCGGCAGACATCACAGCCATAAGGCTGAGGCGGAATGGCTTGTTGCTCGACAGACGGTCTTCAATTCCAGGACAGGAAGAAATGTGGAAATAACCAAGTTGAATGAAAGGCCACAGAGGAACAGCTGTACGCGTGCATCCTCGGTCGAAACGAGGGCGCAGATGAGAACGTGGAAAAAAATTCTACTTGCGGTGCTCACAGGGGGATCTTGGCAAAGAGAACTCTTGGACTTGTCAAGTCCTGCCAAGGTGCATTTAGGGCAGGTCAAGAAGGTGAGGGTTTGCCGAGCGAAATCCACATAACACAGGAGGAAATAAATCTTGAGATGCTGGGAACCTTGACTTCACCACCTGGAAGTTGGATTGTAGTTGACAGCAGCGGAGAGCTGCTCAATGATTTATGACGGATTGTTGAAGTTGCAACGATTACGTTTGAGGAAAAGGAAAGCATCGATGGCAAAGAAAATGTGATGATCGGATGTCATGGTTCCCTCAAGGCTACAGGGTAGGACAGCATGCGCATGTGTCATGGTCCCGGACAAGTGTGTGATTCCTCCTCAAAGGCACAAGATGCCTCCGGGACACGCTGAACCATGCGGGGCTGAGTCCTGGTCCCAAACACAGGAGCTGGGGCCAGGACGTCTGTGATCCCCAAATACTGCCCCACCTCCTGTTGCTGTAGCCCCAGCTCCGGCTTCCCGACACACCTGTCTTACAAGAGCACACGGAGCTGTGTCTCCTGCAGCCATCACGCTCCAGGTCAGCCCCGTCCACGCAGGCTCCCCAGGGCCACCAAAGAGATGGTTCCCTAGCCCACGAGCTGAATCCCACTCTCGCGGGGCTGTCAGATGGAGCCGATAAATGCCCCCCGGCTCACTCTGAATTTCAGTGACACGAGCCACGTTCGTTTTAGGGCGAGCATGTTCCCACGTACTACACGGGGGCCTCACATGGGGACTAGCCCTTGTTGCTTCTCCAAATCCAAGTCTAACTGGGGCGTTTGGTGTCGAGCCTGGCAACCCCCCAGCCCGCGAGCTGCGGCCCTGCACACAGAGCAATTTGCAGGATGGCGACGCTGGTTAATGTAACCCCTAACCTCACCAGGAGCAAATACACAAAGTCAGCAGAGGCATCCTCCTCCAAATCAAGGCAGGGATGCAGCATCCACCTCTGTGTCCACTAATACTAAACTCTAGTATCGGAAGCTCTGCCCAGTGAACATAAGAATCACAACAAAGAAAGGATGGGGTCATGCTATTATTTAAAAAAGAAATCTTCAGCCTGGAAAACCAACAGTCCATGAAAATCTGATAAAACTAATCAACCAAAAGCCTGTAGATTCCTAAATCTACACCAAAGTGTTGAGGCGCAGACTCATAGCCAAGTACATGGCGTGAAGCAGAGGAGGGATGGTCCCCAGTTCCGAGGGAGGAGGATGGACAATGTGGGGGCGCAGAGCTGCCTGGGATGTTGGATCATCACAGCAAAAAGGAAACAAAAAGCAACTTGGGTGCCATAAAGCATGGATGCACAGTCATGGGTTGGGATGGTGAGTTCCGCCTTAGCCCGTGTGCCGCTCGCCAATGGGACCTGTCTACATCTACAGGGAGGAGGATGCGAGGCAGGCAGGGGGAGGGACCACATGCTCAGGTGACATCCAAGCCACTCTGGGGAACATCCGAGGGTCCCCACTCTCCAGGAACCCAACCTGTCAGCACCTCCTTCAGGATGGACCCAATTTACTCCAACACACCCAGGCAATTAGGGTTTCAGCATGTGGTTTAGGAGTGGGGGACCCCACTCAACCCACAACACGCCCTCAACCCCGGCCTGTTGCCTGCTCCCCAGACACAGACACACGTCGTTCACTTACCTCCTCTCCGACACTGTACGGGGGGCCATCCCTCCTTGACCACCCCTCCTGCTTTGGCTCCTTCCTGGATCCCTGCCTGCAAACCCCATCCCTGGGAGCTTCTCCTGATGACCGCTTGTGCCCCATTCGAATGTCATCTGCATTCCCAGCCCACAGTAGACCTCCCTAAACAAACCCAGGTTCCCAGCCTGGAACTTCAAGATGGAACCACGGAGCCAGGTCCCAATCTATGACCTCTCGCCGCGACTCAGCTGACTCCCCTTTTGTACTTAAAAGAAGACCAACAAAGACCCTAAAGTGTTGCAGTTCATTTGAGCAAACAAGGGTCTGTCTACAGCGGGCACCTGCACACCTCATATCGTCCTGAGCACGGTAGGGACAGGAGCTCGGGAAAGGGTTTTATAGGGCGCTCACAGCTGGACGGCTGTTTGTGCTTGGTCCTTCCCCAAATTTCATTTCCGTGGGGACAAGTGCATTTGCTGGTTTCGGTTTGCTGTGTTCGCTATCGACGTATCAGAGCCACCCCATTCCAGCGCGCTTCTTGTTTAATTTATTACAGGAAAACACGACCTTGTGGCCTCTTGACACGTCTGCTGTGGTCACACATTTTGACGTCACGATGAGGACCTCCATCCACC